AAAAACATTGAGTCCTTGTGCTGGCAGCACATTTACCAGCAGACTTTGAAGAACAAAGTTCCTATCCTTGGAGGGGAGGCTGGAGTCATGAAATGGCTTAGGGAGCCTTGGATAACCCCATGTTACCAGCTTTTCATTTAGAAGACAGATTAAGAGATGACTGTAAGACATAAGATCATGATTTTATCTAAGAGAAGGAGATGCCGTGTCATCTAAATGACTGCTCATATGAAGAACAAGCAGGAATAGAAATAATTTTGAAGACTTTATACCACCATACCACATGAACTGGAAACTAGAATTCTGTAGACTATAAAAGGTACACCCCACTTTCTCCAACTGCAGTTTAACTTGGAATTTAAGTCCCCATTTTCAGATACAGGGGAATGTATGCAGCCTAAAGTATTGGGGATCAAATTTCAGGAGCACTTACTGCTGTCTAATAAAACAAAATTGGGTCTCTGTGAAGCTTGTTACAGAAGATGGTGACATGTTTGTGGAAAGGACACTTAAAGTGAAAATGGTTCTGCTTAAGCAGGGCAGTTCTGGGGCTATTTGTGAGTCACCTACCTGAAATCTCGTAGAGCTCCGGTAGTGTCTCTTCAGCTCATTTGAATCTACCTGTAATACGTTTATGTTTTGATTAGGCTCAGCAAATTGTATTTATTAGTCTTTATAAAGTTCCAGTTATTTCTCTCTACTCTTTCTCTTCAATCTCAGCCTATAACTATACACCAATCTCTTGCTTTTTAAAACACAACTACGCAGGGTGCTGGCTTCCTTTGTGTTAATTTCATCTTTTTTTTAGCTAAACATTTTAATATAGTATATTTTGATCATATTCTTTCCTTTCTCCCAATTCTTCCCAGGTTCTTCCCACCTCCCCACACACCTAACTTCATGGTCTTTCTCTCCCCAAAAATAAGAAACAAGAAAGAAAACATGAAAATCCACACAAACAAATAAAAAAGCAGTAAGACAAAACCAAACCAAGGCAAATCAAAAGCGTGCGCGCGCGCGCGCGCACACACACACACACACACACACAGACAGACAGACAGACAAATACAGAATCTCTTTTGTTTCTTTTTTGTATTGTCTTCCACTTTAACATAGGAGCAGCAGGGGAGTCAGCCATTTTGCTTTGTTCTATACCCTCTTCTCATGTCCACCCCTAACCTGCAGGAGTTTGGTCATAATTTGTCTTCCTACTTCTTCCATAGCAACAAAACTGCAGTGGGAAGGCCACACAGGAGCCTGCTCACACTTAACATTGTGCTATGTAACTCAGAATATTTTGAAATGATACATTTCTTGGGTCTTTAAAATTTTTATTTATCATTGTGTACATATTTGTATGGTGTGTGTGTGTGTGTGTGTGTGTGTGTATCATAGGGCATCTTTGTGGGGTTAGTTCTGCCCTTCCACCTTTACCTGGGTTTGAGAATCACACTCAGATCACCAGGGTGTGCAGCAAATGCCTTTTACCCATTGAGCAATCTCGCCATTTCCTTGGATATTTTATTTTAAACCAGACTACCTGGTTAAACTGTAATCTTCTTGTGGACAGGATTGACTCTGACAGCTGGGTAAAGCAGTACGTGGAACTCTCAGAACTCAGTAAGTATTTTGTGTATGAAGAGATAGAGGAATGGAGAGAGGGATGAAGATTTTGTAGTTTTTGGAATTTTCTGGAAAAATTTTTGTTTTTAAGACTGTCTCTTTCAAGGAAGCAGCAGAAGGGCCAATCAGTTTACCTGCACGAGTTGCTTATGGTCAGCTTTTTGGTGTCTTTCTTGGACTCATCAGCTAGCCATTTAACATGCAACGTATCTCACAATTTTGTTATTTTTCCTCTCATTCTATTTACTTCTTGAAAAATCTCATCCATGTTTGACGTTTCAAAGATGACCACATAAAATCTCTATATGCTCCCCTAATATCACATCCAGGAGCTGCAGTCAGTAGAGCTGAACTCATCGTTATTCTCCAGTCTCCTCAAGCCTGACTGTGAGCTCCTGGTACTGCATATTCTCTGAGCATACCCATCCATGCTGGTTAGTCAGCCAAGGCTACTCTCCGCCTCTGCTCTTCAGTCTTTGTCTTGGCAGTGGTCTCCCTGACTTGAGTGGTGCTCCCCTTTGTTCGTTACACAATGGCAGACAAAGGTCTCCTTAAATCAGAGAACTTAATCCCTATTTATGTCAAATTCTATAACTCTACATGATTTTCCGAAAAAAGAAAAAAAAAAAACAAACCCAAATTTCCTTCTATAGTTCACCAGGCTCTGCTCTCCCTGTCTCAGCAGTGTTTTGAAGTTCCTTATCCTTCTGTATCCCTCAGTTCCTCAAATCTGTGCGTTTTTCACTTGAATGCCTTTGCTGGGGCTGTTCCTGGAGCTCAGATCACGTTTCCTGTTATTTCAAAGGTGAAAGGGTACAGATAGTACCAACTATCCATCAGGAAAGGATGACATATGTCATATACATATACATACATATACAACATAGAAGTTCACCGTATTACTTCTTTTTGTTTCTCCTTCATGTTTAAGCTATGTAAATAGTTAGACACACTGTTTTTGTTTGTTTTTTGGGGGTGGGGTGGGGGAGGAAAGGGTTTATTTGGTTTACACTTCCACATCATAATCCATTACTGAAGGAAGTCAGGCCAAGAACTCCAACAGGGTAGGAACCTGGAGGCAGGAGCTGATGCAGAGGCCATGGAGGGGTGCTGCTCCCTGGCTTGCTCCTCATAGCTTGTTCAGTCTGCTTTCTTATAAAATCCAGGCCTACCAACCCAGGATTTCCTCAGTTCCTGAAAGTTCTAACCTCAGTAGGTGCTTGATAAATGTGTGCCATGTACCATAGGAGTAGAAAGGCTCTTAATATTAACATTGAGACCTAAAAGAAGCAATTCTAGCATCCTAGGAATTCTGGCATATGTATGTTTCAGTTATGTGCAGGAAGAAGTTTCTGATAAACTATTAATTAACTGCAATATTAGAACTTGGGCACACAGAAGTAGCAGCATCTAACAATTATCATTCATGTTATTTAATATTTATTACTGTTTTTAATCTTCTCTAAGTAATGTTTAAGATCAGTTAGTTGGGACTTGGTAGATGGTCCATTTGGTAAAATGCTTGCCACATAAGCATGAAAACCTGAGCTTGGTGGTCACAGTAGCATGTATCTATAGACTCAGTGCTGTGTGTGGCTGTGGGTAGCGGCAGGCAAATCCCTGAAGCTCAGTGGCTAGCTACTGTGGCCCATCTAAGATCTTCCTTTTTAGTAGGAGACTGTCTCAGAAAATAGAGGTGGAAAACAACTGAGGGAGACACTTGACATTAGCCTCTGGCTTCCATATACTTGTTCAGATACACACACACACACACACACACACACACACACACACACACACACACACACACACAGATACACACATATAGACACACATATGTGCACATATATACACACACACATGCAGACACACACAGCTACACACATGCATCCAAACACACACATATAGTCATCACACATGTGCCACATTAACTCATCCCAATTTGCCAGTCAACTCAGTTCCTAGTCCCTCTCCCCCTATTATGTTTATACTTTTTACCCATGTACACATGGTAAATTTTACAGAAATATATGAAAATATATGTAAGGTATGCTCAGTTAGTGATTTGTACTGTGGGAAAAAAGGACTGTTGAGCCACGGATAAATAGGCATAGACAGGTTTCATTGGTAGTCTCATAAATTTTGTACCAGGAAAGATTGAGTAAAATCAGACAGCTCCATTATAGCTTCTCTGATACAGACAAACAGACACAACACAAAGTGCCAAGCTGCTATGTTAAAAGATTGCATTCCCCCACCAACCAGGAAGATTTCCCCCCTCACATTTTCCCCTTTCCTTTCGGAGTCTATGATTCTGTGATTGAATAAATGTAAACACAACTAAAAATGCTTGATTAAAGGAAAGTGGCATTTAGCAATTTTAAAATCCCTGTTCTTTTGAGCACTAAATAAATTTGGCACCATTAGCCTTAAGAGGATCAGTCTGTTTACTAGTGACAATTAGGTACTTACTTTTAAAATGTCACCCATTTTAATTCCTTCTCTCTTTAAAGCCTGCTTATTATGCAGACAGCATTTCTTCAGGGGAGGCTTACTTTCGGAAGGGTATGCTAATTACACCTAAATCTTATCCTAGCAGATAGTCTTAGAGAATGCTCTCCTCAGATGTTAGTATGTTTACTCCTTATTTACCTCCTCTGATTAACAATTCTGCAGTTTAAAACAGAACAGAGAGAAGCCCTTAAAAAGAATATTATGTGAGGCTGCAATTAAAGAATTACTCAAAGAGAGAAAATCCTTGAGCCAGCTTTATCACACACACCCCTTACAAACATGCCTTGAATATCTTTGAATTCCATGGTTAGATAGGAAAATGGGTAGAACACTGTTCTCACCTTTTAGGAACTTGCTGTCAGGTAAGAAAGACAGCTGAAGAGACAAGGACATGCTAAATGTGTGGATTTTTATTCATTGAATTCACCTAACAATTTACTTCTACCAGCCATATCTTGGTGTATGTGTATATATCAACATATTTAGTCTTTATCATAGATTTATAAAACAGGAACTGTTTTCACTTTACAAGTAGAAGAAAGTGTTCAATGGAAGAGTTAATCTAGTTTCTTCAAATAATACTATTAGTAAATTTTAGTAGTGAAATTTGAGCCTGGTCTGCTTGTTTCTAGTGTATTATAGTTATCCTATGTTTTATTTATCAAAGTTAAATAAAAGAAAGAGCATCAAAATAGTTAGAGTACAAGGAAATCAGTAATTCCTTCCAAGTCACTTTTATAAACAACAATTGTGAGGTTTGAGGGCTCAAAGCAGTTTCTTATAATAGAAGACCTAAATGACATGGTCATTAATGGCCACTAAACATTTCCACAGATCCTTTGTGACTATTGGGTTTATCAATCAAAGGCTGTAGTTGGGTGTCATATCCAACACCCAGTGTTGGGCCTGTGAGCTTGCTCAACAGGAATGGCCTATCCACTAAACCCAACAACCCGAGTTTGAGCCTGGATTCCGCATGGTGGAAGGATAGACCCAACTCCTGAAAGTTGTCTTTTCACCTTCACACAAGCACTAAGGCACCCATGTCATAGGCACACACAATAAAAATATATAATGTATAAATAAAATTATATCCACTACTAACTTGATTTCTGCTACATATAAGGGAATTTTTATAACAAGGCATTTTTTTGTTGGTGTTTGGATCTCTATGTAGCACCATTTTCAGAAGACTTTGTGAATGAATGTAAAACACGTGCAGACCTTCCTGGTTTCTTTTACTGTGGCTGTTTGCACCTCGATCCTAATAAAAACTTGTAGAATTAATATTACTATCCTACAGGCCTGGTAAAGCATGTATTAAGTTAATACAATGTATGTACAGAAGGTAGGTAGGTGTGTCTACCTAGCATATGTAGGCATTTAAATGTTTGTTCAGAAAATGAATAAACACTTCTGTGGAATACCTTAAAACACGTAAAGATGAACGTAGTGTGATCTTCAGGTTGGAACTCAGTGTACATAGACTTTGTAGCAAATGTAATCAACTTCCAAAGGCTAAAACTACCTACTCTAAATTAATAGGACCATTAAACTTCTTTGGAGCAAAGAAAGCAATTAGTTCCTGCTCTGTGTTTGTAGCTTGTGGTAATGCATTTTGAATAGAGTCCATTGAGTGTGTTTTTATTGATTATTTTTCAGGGTTTTAATACTCTATTGTGTGCAAAGATCTCTTAGAAAATTGAAACTAGAAGTCTCCCTTTAGTGATTTTGTCATTTTCCGTTTGTCAAACATTGATTTTGTGCATCTAATGGAGGCTGAAATTAGTGGGGTTTTTCCTTTTTCTTTCTTTTCTTATTTTTTTTTTTGGTGTTGTTTACTTCTCATTTGTACATCATCATTATCATTCATCAAGCTGCCAGTGAGCTCCAGGACTGGGGTATGAGTGAACTCACACTCTGAAGTCTGTACTGGGAATATTCTGAGTAGTAGATATTTGCCACTGGTTTGGCTATTATTGCCTTTAGAATTTGCTTAATGAAAAAAGTTAAATACAGGACACATGTCCCAGAAAATAGAATTTTAAAAATAAAAATTGATAAAATTATTCTTTTCATATTTTTGAAAACTTAAGAGTTCCTGAACTAAAAAGAAAATATTCAGGATTCAAAACCCTACTCTCTTATTCAATAACATATATGACTCTGAGTTGCTATACATTTTGGCAATTGGGCCTTCCTATTCTGATCTTGGAGGGCATGTTTGGTGCAGTTCTTGTAGGGACTTGTGATAAGGGAGTCACAGTGGACATCCAGGGGATACACTTTCTGCTGTCTAGCTTGGAAGTGTCTGCAAAGCAGATGATTAACACTTAAGTGTATGTTTATGAAAATACATTTTTCTGTTTTATTTTTTCATCATTGGGATTGACTATGAAATTCTAAAACTGGAAATAAAATCTAGAAGAATATAGTATCTCAAAGGTAAGAATTCTGGCTTTTGAGGGAGGCCACTGCTTTGATCATGAGAAATGGGATATAATAAATTTGGAAAGTCAAGAAAGAGAAGAAACAGATTAGAAGATATTCATTACAAAATAAGACAACCATGGTCTTATGATTTGTGAATGGCAAGGCACATGGTTTTCCCCTGTGGCTGGACTCCCGAAGGACACCGCAAAGCCTCTCAGTGTCTTACATGGCTTTGCACCAGCATAATTTGCAATTGGTGGAAATGTCTGCAGCGCAGTACAGTAGCTACATGCTGTTGAGCACTAGAAATATGGATAAAGTATGCTGGGGAATTCTGAGTTTTTGTATTATTTATTTGTAAAATTTGAATATACATATGCTTAGCAGCCACCCATATAGTCAGTACAGTGAAGTTACAGTTATTAAAAGGGTGAGGGTGTGACTGTACTCACCTACTGTGTACTGTCTCCTACCCTTCCTATAAATATCACGTATGTTTTCCTTCCCATTTTTACCTCATCTCTGCCTGTTCTGTTCACATACCCTCCTCCTTTTACTTAACTTGAGCCTTTCATAGCTTTACTAATACTTAAACTCTGTGGATCCTAACAGTACTCCAGCTTCCCACTTCCATCTACTTTCCTTTCGTTTTCCTCAATTACTCTAATACTAATCTCTGTTCTTATCACATTTCCCCCCAAGTCTGACCTCATCTTAGCAATGCTACTCTATGCTTTTTCCTCTATCTCCCAATAGTTATTGAATATAAACACATTATTTTTTAAGCCAGCCATAAGGATATTTGCATAATGGATCCAGCACTTGTGCTAGCTGCAGTGAATATTTTATACTCACAGTTTTATAGGCACTGTACCAGGTGCCTTAAGCAGATGGGTCTAATTTAGATACTGGACTCCATTCTTAGTCCACTGGAGATGAACAATACTTCAAATCTATCACAACCTAGCCTCACTTTAACATTGAAACCCCTCAACTGGAAGAAAACAGCTAGTAAAAACCCAACAAAAAAAAATAACCCAGCCTCACATGTCACAGTCTAGATGTATATATATATATTTGTATATACATATATAGCAACATGAGTCCTGTAAAAATAACTCCATAGAAGAGGATTCCAGATAAAATTTCATACAAAAATTAAAAAGGAATCATAAAAAGTATAATTAAATAATTTGGGTAAAAAAATAAACTTCCAATTAATTAATTAAAATTAGTACAAAGAAACAGTTAAACAAATAAGAAATAAATACAGGATATGAAAGAAGAATTCATATCTGTGAGATATGAGAGAAATTCATATCTGAGAGAAATATAAAGTTCATTTAGTCACAAAGAAACCCAGTAGAATGCTTTACCAATAAAATGAATCAAGTGGAAGACAGAGTATCAGGGAGAGATGAAAAGAAAGATGAATTAGAATATTCAGACACTGACAAAGCTTTATTCACAGACAAACGTTAAATAAAACAATACTGTAAATTTAATTTTTTTAGTCCAATTAGACATTGCTCATTTGTCAATTTATTCCTCCAAACTCCACTTACAATAATTTCTCCTCCTCTTACAAACTGGAGTCTTGGCTGGATCAATAACATATCACCAAGGTAGATGATATCACATATGATGTCAGTAATAATCCAGTAATGCCTGTTTTCTGGTGTTTGGTATGGAAAGGCAAGGCGCACCGGTAGCAGCCAACAGTTCCAGTGATAGGCAATGGTGACAAGCAGGAGCCACAGGAGATAGATTCGATCTAGCAAAATAGAGCTGAAGTCACCCCAACAGCATCACACAAGCATTCCAAGAAGTTTCTTTCTCAGTTTAACCAAACTGAGGCACTATCTTTATGGGTATATATGGTGTGTTTGTGTGTGCACATGTGCATGCGAATGCACAAAATGTGTGTGCACTGGTGTGTAGAGAATAGAAGCTGACACTGGGTGTCTTCCTCTGCCATTTCTCACCCTATTTTGGGGGTATGGTCTTGCAGTTCATCTATTGGCTAGAATGGCTAGTTAGCAAGCTTTGGGGATCCAGCCGCAGTTGCTACCATTATACATGCACTACCAAGACCAGCTTTTACAGAGATGCTAATGATCCAAATTCAGATTTTCATGCTTGCATAGTAGGCACTTTATAGACTGAGACATCTCCCCAACACTGTTACTTTGGAGATAAGCAGTTTGCAGTAAGAACTTCTGTTAAATATTCAATATGTCTGTCTTGAATAGATGGCACCATGCTGTACAAAAGGAAGCAAAATGATAGTATCACTTTTCCCAAAAGTGGACAGTGTCGTTTTGTCTTTTGACTAGACTGAGTCTATTCCAGGGGGTAACTTCACTGTTTGGATTCAGGAAAGCAGAATCCTGGAAAATTTAGATGTGTCATTGCTAAAGTCTTCCTGAAGCAAAGGATTTTTTGGTAGTCAGTAATTAGGACCTGCCCATGGCAAGTAGGAGAATTGGCTTCACCCTGCCAGAGAGAGTTGGTTCTCAATAGGAGAAGGGAAGAGCCAATCCATTGAGCCAACCAGTGTCCCTTCACACGTTAGTATCATATGCCTCTGGGAGGATGTAGGAGAGAATCTGTTTGATTAGAGTAATTAATTTAGTGAAGCCATGGAAAAAGACAGAATGTATATTATATATGTGTGTATATATATGTATGTATATATATAATGTATATACACACATACCTCTGTGTGTATGTGTGTGTGTGTGTGTGTGTGTGTGTGTGTGTGTGTGTGTGTGCGCGCGCGTGCGTGTGTATTTCCAAATTCCTTGAGGCTTTCTTTTCAAAGGTTATTTTGGTTAGGAAAAGCCATAGCCTGAGTTTTAAAACAGGCAGGAATATTTTATCTCTTGTCTTCAACAGAGAAAGGAAAACAATAGTTCACATAGTTTAAATTGTGCTTTCAAGATAGGTAACACTGTGAAAAAACTAAAGCTCTCTCTGTATCTCTAGGTAAGAGGGGTTCTGGTGACTGGCGACCCTCCCAGTGGGATTCCCATTGCTTGTACCTGTGTATGAATCTATGCTTCTTGGAAGTCTCATTCTTTTAAAGTGCTCGTTCTCAGGTGACCTCTGGAGTTTGCATGACCACTTGCCTTGGTGATGCTCTTTTAGCTTAGAATTCTTGTCTTGTGTTGGTGATATGTCTGTAGACTTCACTTTATAGGAAAAAAGGGGAAATATTTTAAGAAGTTAACATAAGTTATCTTGATGAGCAAAGCATTTAGCTTTGATGAAATTAAAATATTTGAAAATCTTGCCCTCTTTGTGTAGGCAAGCAAAGTAAATCCTCATGTTTAAATTAATGACATTTATTTTTCTATATGCATTATAAAGCATCATGTTGTACTATCTAAATATATACAAAATGAAATAAAATAGTGATATATATGAAAAATACTGAATAAAATGAATCAAAACACTGAAATTTGGGAAATTGCTGTTTAAAATTCACAAGGCACCACAGATCAAATGTCTACCATCCCCCAGGGTTTACTTTGAAGTTACAACACATCCTTCATACATATCCTTTGAGTTATGGGTAAACAATACTCAAAATATTGTTTTCAATATGTGTTTATCAAACTGTGATTTATTTCAATCTTATTTCCTCAAACATTAACTACTGTATAATGCATAGTGTGCTTTGAAAATACAGCTTCCCTCCAGTCTATCTCATTTCATTATAATTAGATTTGAAGATGTTCATCTGTTCTTAAGAATTCATTTTTCTTCTTTCTCTCTTTAAATACTGGACAAGTATCAATCATAGTATATATTATTTTGTGCTCCATTATTCTTATTTTTTCATACCATACTTCTGTAATTATTAAAAATATTGATAATTGTCCTCTCTCATGTGACTGTTTTTAATCTCCCCTTTCTCTATTAACTATTTTTTATTTTGTAATATGCATTTTGTATAATATGGTTATTGCTTAATATTAATGATAACACTCATAGCAGGTATTGCTGGCTGCTTCTGCATATAGTCTGGGCCTAAAGATCACCTTATGTGGGCTCCCTATGTTTTCATCGGTCTGAGAGTTTTCTTGAGTAAGTTTTCACAGGTTCAAGGGAGTGAAGAATATGGTCCAGGAGCAACTAGACCTTGTGACTTGTCCTTCCTCCTGACACTCTCCTCTTCTCTTCCTTCCTTTCCTTCTGTTTTTGTTGTAAATGATCTGTGCATATGATGTGTATGAGCATGGGTGTGCATCTGCAATGATCTGTGTATAGAAGTCGGAGGACAAGTTTCAGGAGTCAGTTCACACCTTACACTTTGTTTTCAGGCAGGGTCTCTTTTGTTTGTGCTGCTTAGCTCTCTAGACTATCTGGCCTGTCAACTTCCGGGTGATTTTTCTGTCTGTGCCTCCCATGTTGCTGTAGGAGTGCTGGGATTACAGATGTATGCCACGACCCCCAGCTTTTCACATGGGTTCTGGGGATCTGAATTCAGGTTGTCAGGCTATGCAACAAGTGGTTTTTACCCACTGAGCCATCTCCTAGTACTTTTTGTTCTCTTTTGTTTTGACACAGAGTCTCTTTTCTCTCAGGCTGCCTTCAAACCAGCTGTGTAGTTGAGGATAGCTCCAAGCTACTGATTCCCAAGTGCTGCAATTATACACCTGGTCTATACAGTGCTGGTGATCAAACACAAGGCTTTGTGCATTTCATGCAAGCAGCCTATCAACTTAAACAATTTGCTAGCCTGGTGATAATTTTTTACGATAGCTACTTTTCTGTTTTTACTGTTATTCCTTGTGCATTTCTTGTTGCATTTACTTTTGGTGTTGGGGATTGAGCCCGTGTCCTTGCACAAGGTAGGCTTGTCTACTGAATTATGTGTCCATCCCTGTCCATTTTTATGCATGTATATGTATATTCATTTGTGTGTGGCTGCACATGTATGTATAGGTGTGCATTATGTGTATGAATATGGATGCCAGATGACAAAGCTGGGTGCCATTTTTCAAGCACATTCTGCATTTCTTTTTGAGACAGTATCTTCCACTGGCCTAAAACTCACCAAGTATGGAAGGCTTGCTGGACAGTGAGCCCCAGGGGTTCACTTGTCTTGTTTCCATCTCCTTGATACTCAAATGAAGAGTATGCTACACACACACACACACACACACACACACACACACACACACACACACACACACACACGTCCTCATTACTTTAGTTACTGAACTATTCCTTAACTCCTTTCTCTTCTTTTCTTAGAGTAATTCTTATTTTTCTGCTATATCCGGCCCTGGGGGTCACACTAATGATCCTTCACCTTAATTTCCTTCTTGGACTCTTCTTGCTACTTTCAGATCTCTGAATCACTCTCAAAATAAACTAATGCATCTAAAATTATTGTCTCAGTATCTGCTTTTCTGGGATCTAAGCTGAGTAATTGTCCAAATACATGTTCCCTTATAACTTCTTTCTCATTAGTGCTTTGAGGGAATAATGCTTACTAGTTTGAGGACTAGCTTCGGGTAAGGGTGAGTGCTCTCCTTCTGTCAGTCTTCTCTTGTAGAGAGCAGTCCTTTCACGCATCCTTTCTACCAGTTTGTGTAGATGGGCATCAGCATATCCATTTATAATTGAGTCTTCAAGCAGTTTGCTCTTAAAGCTAAATGAGAAAAAAAATGGAAATAAGTCCCTGAGGAGATACATACAGTTTTATTCCTTATGTATTCAAGATTATTTCTCCTTTTTGCAATTGAATAATACAACAAAAACACTGAAATAAAGTGGAGATAGTGCTGGTGGAACACAGATTGCCATTGAAAAATTAGATGGTAGGCACTTGCTTCAGCAGCACACATGCTATTGGAAAATTATAGTTCTATAAACAGCAAATGTTCATTCTTGAAAACACACGAACTTAGGACCATGGTGCCATCATTAAACTCTGTCTCCAGAAGAAGTAAAGCTGGTATGGAAGGCAGGACCTAAGATGACACCATGACTTCATAACCCCAGGGATGATGAACATGCTCCTAGAGTTAGCACATGGTACATGGCATGATTTACTTCAAGATGAGGAGGTGGTACAGCAGTCTGATAGAATCATGTGAACCCTCTAAAAGTAGAGTTTCTCTGTCTGACAACAGAGCAGAAAATCAGAGATTTGAAGTGTGATAGAGAGGTTCAGGGATAGAAATTCCCTACCCCATGGGGGAATTTTGAAGAAGAAGGGGATCATTGATAAGAATTTCAGGAGGTCTCCACTGACAGTGACTTCTGAGTAGCTGATAATAAGAAAACAGATTTTAGTCTTATAACTACAAGGATCTGAGTTTTTTTGTAATTAATTTGTTAATGTTTTCATTATTCTACTTCTTTTGCATTTCCACATACATGTTAAAATATTTTTTTTATTCTTTGTGTCTTTCACATCATGCATCTAGATCACATATATCTCCCTGTCCCTTTGTATGCACCCTCTGTCCTTGTAACCTCCCCCCAAAATAAAATAAAATGATATTTAAGAAAAAAATAAATAAATAAAATATCATAGAAGCTGTAGTGTAACACAGTAAATCATACAGTTTACCCTTTTTATCCATATATCTTCACTTGCAGGTGATCATTGCAAGGAGTCATAGTTCTGGTTCAAGGCCTCTGTTTTTTGCTACCCTATCTATACTGGGCTAATGCTGCCTGGAGGACCAGCCTCCAGACAGCCCAGGGCTCAGAAGGAATCCACAGTGTCAGTATATACTAGACTTTTCTATCTGAGGGAGTTAGAGAAAAAGACACACTCTTGATGGTTTCCTCCAGACCTGTTCTTTATTCTTCTTTTGCATTCTCTATTCTTTATTTTCCTGGTGATTTCCTTCTCTAATTCTTGATATTTTCCTTCTAATACTATCTCTATTCTTGATGTTTCCCTTCTAGGTCCTTCTAACTCTCTCATTCCTGATATTTCCTTTCTAGTTCCTTTTAACTTTCGCATTCTTGATATTTTCTTTATAACTATCTCATTCTTGATGTTTTCCTTCTACCTCATTTTAGCTCTCTGTAACTCTATCTCTTTTCTTTCTCTTACATCTTATATACCTCAGCAAAATCTTTCAGGAGATATAAAAATTACAATGTAGTTACATTGTGTTTTTCAAGTGAATGATTACAACGAATACAAAACAAACAGTAAAAAAAAAAAAAACCCAGCATGTTTTCCATATCCCTGACATGATTAAAAATTTTATGTATTACAGGTGAAAAACAAATTATCCAAGAACTCACATACATCCATACCCAAGCAACTTGTTATAGATTAACAGAACATGAGTAAGCAGAAAGTATTTTTTCACAGGCAACTCCTTTGTTATCAGGCTGCATATTGCAATTACAAAGAAAGGGCCAATTATTTTATTACTTATCTTAGAAGGTAATCTGATAAGGAATCTTAAAGGAATCACAAGCCTAAACTTTTATGTATAAAAAAGAATCAGTTAGCTCTACTTTAAATCTTTAGGATACTTACCTACTCATTAATAGTTTTTTATATCAGGAGATTGAGGGGGGAAATAGATATAAGGAATTAATCATCACCTTTGATCATCAACCAACACTAGCAAGGAAAGTACATCAGCTAGTAACTGGGCTGCTTTGGGCTGCTTTGTATTTTTGATCTCAGCTATGTGTCCTTGTGAACTTGAGATTGTTTTCTGGGGTTTTTCATTTTAAAGGTATTATCAAAACATCTGATCTAACCTGAACACTTTGTTTTAAAGCTTTGTTTCAGCTAATGGGACACCAAAATCTGTGATTGTGTTTTCCAGTATTAAGAGAGTTAGAGCCAGCCTGACTCCTGGGAACCCAACTGTTTTACTTAATCATTAACCTGAGCTGTGATCTATGCAGCTCGTTAGGGGGAACTCATAGGCTCTAGCTGTGTAACATTTCCTTATATTTATTTTTACTCATCAAGACTCTGTACAAGCTAACATTATTATTATTATCAATTAGACAGTGCAGCTTAGTGAGGAATCATCTTGATAATAATCAACAGGTAAAAATGCCCAGTAGAATGTGATGTTTCCATGAGATAAACATACTACATTACAGGCAGTGGGGATCTCCCCATACCCATTCACACCGTGCCAGATACCAGAGGAAGATGACAGCAGCAAACATGTAAAGGCACAGCAGAAGCAAAAGGCATTCCAGGTCTGTGGTGTCTTGGCCTGCCTAACTGAGATTGACCCACCAGAGAGTTTCCTCCAGGTAGGCTAACACCTTAAACTTCAACTGCCACCTGCTGCTCCTCTGATATGGCCACCAGCACTGGGCCCTCACTCCTCTTGGATATCCTGTTGTTGCCCTGTGTCATGGAGATCCTACATTTTTGGTCTGGCAGACTGGCCCCTTCACTTGCTCCAGCAGATCATAGATGAGGTGGATATTGGGGTGGGCCAACTCATTAACCTAGTTCTGGGCCTGGGTCGTTGCAGGGTTGGTTAGCCCTCCAGCTTTCCCTAGTCCTCATGACCAGGGTAAGCTCTCTGGCATTGCCCTGGCTAGCTGACCCCTTGCAGCCATGAGCAAGGAGGAGGGACCAGTCCTTGTGCTTTCCTGATCTCAGGGCAGGCTCTCCCGCACCTACACCAGCAGGACCAGTTCTACTGTGTTGTCTAGGCAAGGTGTAGGGGCCACTCTCCTGAGTGCTGCAGCTGATGAGGGGTGGGAATAGCTCTTCCACTCTTATGACCTCTGGGCCAGCTCTCACACCCACCACAGGGAAGGGGGGCATTCTCCTCAACCCCTGTCCAGGCCACCTTGTGGTGGGGCTAGATCTCCCAAGCTCATGTTCTCCTTGCTGGTTCACCTGTTAATAGGATCAGCTCTACTGTGCTGCCCAAGTGAGGTTCAGGGACCATTTTACTGAGAGCTGCAGCTGATAAGAGGAAGAGTCAGGGGTTAAGGGGGAGGGCATCTTTCCCTTGCCCCTACCGCCATAAGGCAGATGAGGGGGCATGGCTAGCTATCCTACTCTCAAGCCATAAGGGCTGGCCCACCTGAGTGGGCCTTTTGTTTCTGCTGTGCCTTTACATGTTTGCTGTTGCCATCTTCCTCTGGTATCTGACAGGGTGCGAATGGGTGTGGGGAGATCCCCTTTGCCTGTGATGTATGTAGTGTGTCTATCTCATGGAAACATCACATTCTACTGGACATTTTTTAATCTGTGGATTATTATGAAGACTATCCCTCACTAAGCTGTGGTGTACCAACAGGGTCAGCTCTGCTGAGGATCTGAGTTTTGACAATAACATGAATGAGTTTGAAAGTAGATTCTTTTGCAAAACCTCCTCACTAGGCCCTTGCCTAGACTGGTTGATACCTGGATTTCAGCCTTGCAAGACTTTCAGCTGAAAGGGCAGTCAAGCCCTTGGGCTTCTGATCCAGAAAACAGCCTCTGAGTGTGTGGTGATTTGTTGTACAACAAGAGAAAAATCAACTCAACTGACATCTTTTAAGTAATTTCCATTCTGAAAAAACACAAGCATAGGACTACAGAGTATAACTTGTAAGAAAGCTGGTATGTTTTGTAAATGTCTGCACATGGTCTCTCCTCCTCTGCTGTCTGACAAGGGGTTTCAAATTACAACTGGGAAACCTGTGCAGTTTACTTAGGAAAATGCTCCAGTCAGCCCATACTCAGGAACTTCTGTCCCTACCTTCTCCCTCAATGTGTGTATCTGTAAAGGTTTCTAGATCCCCAGATTAAGGTTTTTTTCTTTTCCTTCCTTCCTTCCTTCCTTCCTCCCTCCCACCTTCCCTCCCTCCCTCCCTCCTTCCCTCCCTCCCTTCCATTTCTTCTTGTTCTTGTTCTTCTCATCCTTGTCCTCCTCCTCCTCCTCCTTTTCTTCTCTTCCTCCTCCTTTTTGGTATTTTTGAGAAGACAGGGTCGTTCTATGTAGGCCTGGATGCCCTGGAATTCACTATGTAATCCAAGCTAGCCTCAACTCACAATGATCTGCCAGCCTAGGATTAAAGGCAAGTGCCACTATGCCAAGTTTTCCATTCCTTGTAAGTATAATTTATGCTTCTTTCGTAGATCAAAGCTTGTTGCTACCTTTTCAACTGGCCTGAACCAAGAGTTCACACCAGAACAAGGAGTGAGTATAACTTTTAAGGCTCACTTCTAATGACCTAATTCTCCCAGCTAGGTCCATATTCTAAATGTTCTACAACTTCCCCAAACAGTGCCATGAGCTGGAAACCAGGTTTCCACACAAGAACCTATGTAGGGTGTGTGTGTGTGTGTGTGTGTGTGTGTGTGTGTGTGTGTGTGTGTGTCTCAGTTAGGGTTTCTACTGATATGAAAAGACACCATGATCATGGCAACTTTTATAAAGGAAAATATTTAATTTGGGTTAGTTAACAAATTCAGGGGTTTAGTCTGTTATTGTCATGGTGGGAAACAGAGTGGCATTCAAGCAGACAAGGTGCTGGAGAAGAAGCCAAGAGTTCTAAATTTGGGTTGGCAGATAGCAGGAAGAGAGACATTGGGCTTATTTGAGCAGTGACACACATCCTCCAAGAAGGCCATACCTACTCTTACAAGGTTACATTTTCTAATAGTGCTACTCCCTTTGAACCCATGGGGGCCATTTCTGTTAA